TGTTTCAGGCTCTTATTAACCAGCTCTTCCTACACATCCAGCCCTGTCACCTTCCCAAAGCTTTACCTCAAAGTGAGGCTCATTTTCTGAATACATACTCTGAGCAATGTGGCTTTCACTAACATTCATATGTTGCTGATTCTTCTACGTAGGTTCTAGCCTGGATCTTCAACTATTTAGTCAGTAATTCTGCTAAGCATTTTGAAATGCCACGTCATTTAGCATGTTCCTAACGGAATTCTTCATCTTCCCCACTCTCCTCCACTCATTCACATCTCAAGAAATGGCAATTCTGGTTGGATCCTCAATTCTAAAACCTTGATTTATCTTTCTCAAAATTCAGAATTGTTAGTTATACCTTCAAAGTAGGCCCAGAGGATCTATCACCAATTTTTTTTATTGGTAGTATATTAGATCAGGTCATAATCCTTTAGGAATAAATTATTGTGACAAGTGTCTTCAGTGTTTTTTTTGTACTCTCCACAGATCTCCATTGTTCTCAAGACAGCATGAAATTGCTTTTCTTTACTTCTTTATACAAAATGCCCAAGCATTTCTTTTTTTAAGGGAAAAATATCTTTTTAATTATTCCTTCTTCTTAGCTTAAATAACTATTAATTTTTTGAATTGTGACAATACTGTGCAGAGGGGTTACAATTACATGGGTAAGATAATGAGTACATTTCTTATCAAGCTTTGTAGCCTCCTCCTTTGTTTCCCCTTCTCATCCCTTCCCATACTCCCGCCGTCCCCTCATCCACTCTCCCCCCACAAAGTTGTAAAGTTCGTTTTCAACATAACGACTTGTACATCTAATTGTTGCAATGGGTGCACCTGTATCCCTATTTAAATGATTTGTTATTTTTCCCTTCCCCTCCACAAATTATATCAACATCAAATACAGTGAAAGCAGGAGTTATACCATGGGGGAGGGACATACAAAGCAACAAAGAAATCATCTTATAAATGTGTTAGAAACAATCACATGAAAGAAAAAAACATTTGAATACATATCTTAGGGTCCATTTCACCTAAAATCAACTTATCTGACCTTTTTTGCTTGTCTCAGACATATACTAGTTGTTGCAAATAAGGAAAACCATGGGACCTATGTTTCTTTGGGCCTGGCTTACTTCACTTAATGTATTTTTTTCCAAGTTTTTCCATTTCCTAACAAATGGGGCAATGTCATTCTTTCTGATGGAGGCATAAAATTCCATTGTGTTTATATACCACATTTTCTTGATCCATTCATCTGCTGAGGGGCATCTGGGTTGGTTCCATATCTTAGCTATGGTAAATAATGCTGCAATAAACATAGTCATGCTGGTAGCTTTAGTGTGGTCTTGTTTGTGAACATTTGGGTAAATGCCCAAAAGTGGGATTGCTGGGTCATAGGGGAGCTCTATGTGGAATCTTT